TTGTTTGGCGGGCCCGGGATGGATTCGAACCTGCCACCTTAGGTGTATGCATCTGGCGCCTTAGCCACTTGAGCCACAGGCACCAAGCCCACTGCCCTGTATGTTATGTGCATTTTATTTAACTTTGTTGTATTGTGTATGTCTCTCTCTATATATTTATAGGACAAATGAGTCAAAATTTTATAGTATCTAGTTGCCAATGTATGATGAAACTAGAATTAGTAAGCTAACATTTTGTATAGTTTGTGTTAAAATTCATAGCAAAAATGTCTTCCATTTCATTTCCAAAGGGACTTCTGGAAGTGAAATGACAACATTATATCTAAGTGACACATATGCTTATATCCACTGGGTTCATGATGGAGAGGAGTTAGAAGAATTGAAGGATACTAGACCAGAAGGTTCCTTTTTAGAAAATACTTTCACATATAACCATTGTTACATATGTGTAGTTTATTCAACACTCCTGTGGATACAGCAGACAAACTTAAGTCCTTATTTGAAACATCTTTCCAGATGTTTAGAAGTGCACAAAATATGTTAAAAGTAGAGGTAGTAAATAATATATTTGGTAGATATCCTTTTACTAAAATTCATATGCAAAACTGTCTTGGAAATTGAATGATCAAACCACTTGTCTGAGCTGTACACATTATTTGTGCTGGTTTAGGGAGGAAGGAAGAGAAAATTCAAAGGGATTCTTTACACCAATGTAGTTAGAGTTGAGGCAAGATTGACTATTGTTCAATCGTCAATGTCTGACTTTTTACTTTGCTGGGTATATAGTGTATATAAAGGACAAATGAGTCCTAATTTGCAACATCTAGTCCTTCTACATGATAAAATGGTTGCCAGTGTACGACAAAAGTAGAGTTAGAAAAGTAATACGTTTAGTGGACACACACACAATTAACAGATGCAAAGACATGGAATCAACCCAAGTGCCCATCAGTTCATGAATAGATTAATAAACTGGGCTAGAAGTATAGCATGGAGCTACTCCACCGTAAAAAAGATGAGTTGATTCCTTTTGCAATAATTCATATGGAAGTGAAGACTATTATCCTAAGTGAAGTATCTAAAGAACAGAGAAATAAACACCATATGTACTTGCTATTAAACTGGAACTAACCAATGAGCACACATGTGCACAGGGTGAAGTAAAACTTGATGAAAATCAAGCAAGGAGGATAAGGAAGGAGGACATTGGCTGAAAACCTACCTACATGGCACAATGAACACTGTGTGGGTGAATAGCACACTTACAGCCCCGAATCAAGTATTACAAAAGCAATCCATGTAACCAAGTGTATTTGTATCCCCTTAATATTTTGCATTAGTAATAACAACAATAATAAGGAATACTTTGCCAGGGCTAAAGAAGGTACACTCAGCTCAGTAGCACAAATATCCATGTGAAATGTGTTCTGAACTGTGCCCTAGACTTTAGCAGTGCACAGGAAACTGAAAAGATGACATCCACACAATGTTGATAAGAGGGAATGTTGGTGCACTGTAAACAACACAGCTGTGACTATTGATTACGTCTTATCGATAGGATGGAATTCTGGACAGGCAGTAAAAACAAGTTATAATTAAAACAATGATGAGAGACAATTTGTTGTCTAACAGGTTGACAATGATTTCTATTATT